ATTTCTTGTTATGTATCATTTTCTTCTGTTCTTGTAGGTCCTGGTTCCTAACTCAACAAAGCTGTCCCTTAGGTGTGAAATTCAACTACACAAAAGTTGAACTACACTTGATTTGCCTGAAAGAAAGCAGGGATTTTCTAAGAGGAGTTGGAAGCATGTACATGGGACAATATTTCCTAGCCTAGGCTCAGAATGCTGAAATCATATGGAACATTATTATCCCCATTCTAGCTGTGATTAGCAATTTCCATGTAGAGTAGCGACTGCACCTAAGATCTCCCCAGTTTCCATGTTTCAGTATAATGCCAGGCTGCCCAATTTCCCACAGAATTATTTCTCAATTCCCTTATTTATTATTTCTTTTCACTTGCTCTTTCAGTATTAGAAAAATCAGGAACACACTGAAATTGTGACTGCAAACCTACATCCAGTCTTGTGACGGTACTTATGTTGAATACTTCTAAATCAGTTGTAGGTGACAGATTCAATCATTCAGTTATAAATATTACACCATGGCTAATATAGTTTCAGATGAAAATGCCATAATTCAAATAGATAATTTCCTAGCCAGCAAATTTCTTATTTCTGTGTCTGTACAATAACGAAACAAGCCCCATGAAATGCAATCTCTGATAATTAATTATTAACATGGTTCAGAATTGGTTACCCTGAATGCAAGACGTAAGGGGTTAAGTTGAATAAAAGCTGAAAATTTGAGCACAGATGGTAGTGCATGATTAACCCATGACCGTCCAATATTTGGCAAACTTCTTGCTGTGTTACATGACAGCTTCGTGCAGCCAGTGCTACCCATACTATTCATTGGCTACACACATTAGAAGGTAGCAAATATCATAAATGGCTAACACTGATTATACATAGTCAACGCCTCTTAAACAGGAGGTGCACAAGTGCAAGGAATGGCAGGAGTCATATGAAACTGATGTTGTATTCTGATACTTTGAGCAATAGCTATAAATACAAGATTCTCAGACAATCCATTTAAGGGCTTGGCCAAAGAGATAGAAAGGAAAATTGATATTTTATACTTGTAGGAGGCAGGAAGTCACTCAGACTCTCATAGTGAGAGGCAGTGAAAAGCAATAATGGCAGGGGTCATTGCCAGGAGAACCTGAATGCAATGGTGGAAAATATTTAACAATCTGAAACATGCTGTCTGCATGAATTAGTTCAAGTTCATATGGCATATTTTACCAAATGCAACACCATGCCTCATCCATTCCCTCTGACTCAGGCTACAGCTGGTAAAAGCACACAATTCCTACTTTCTCCTCTTCCTTCATCAAAATCTTTGTCATCTTAGATGCTGAATAACTGGAGTCTTCTCAGTCAGTGGGAGAAAAAAAAGGAGAAAGATGAACAGTGGTCCTCACTCAATCTTGCAGTTGCAGGAGCCAAACTAAAGGCTGACATGATGTACTTTGTACAGGATAGACTGGAATGTAAGAAATAGAAGGAGTAGGCCAGTTGGCTCTTCAAGACTGTCCAGCCATTCAATAAGTTTAAATCTATCCTGATTGTGATTTTCATGTCATGTTACTGCCTATTGTCCATAACTCTTCACTCTTTGTGGAATAAAATTCTTTATAACTAAGCCTTGAATATATTCAATGATCCACACATCATTGCTCTCTGGAGTTGAGAATTACAAAGATTAATCATTCTTGGACAGAAGAATTTTCTCCTCCTCATCTCTGTCTTAAATGTGAAACCCCTCAATTTGAAACTGTGATCCCTACTTCTAGATTCCTCCATGAGGGCAAATATCTGAACAGCTGTCATTCCCCCTGAGAATTTTATATTTTTCAACAAAAGCAATTTTCATTCTTCTGAATCCCAATGAATGTAAATGGAAGCTGGTCAGCCTTTCCTCATAAGGTAAATACTTCAGCCCAAGAATCAAACAATTGAACAATAAGGGAGTACTGGAAGGCATAGTTTTAAAATAAGGGGGACACATTTAGGACTATGATGAGGAATTGATTTTTTACTCAGAGGACAGTGGATCTTTGAAATTCTCTACCCTAGAAGGCTGTGAAAGGTCAGCCTTTGCATATATTTAAAGTAGAGGTTGATAGATTTCATATTATCAATGGCATAAAGAGTTATGGGATAATGTGGGAAAAGCATTCAAGAAATCGATTAGCCTCAATCATAATAAATGGTGGAGAATCCTCAATGAGTTGAATCATTTACTCCTGTTCCTATATTCCTATGAACCTTCTCTAAGCTACTTCTAATCTAAGTATATCTGTCCTCCTGTCTGTTAACCATTAGTCAGCCAATCTTCTTTCCATGCTTACATGCTGCTTTCAAGCAATGAGCTCTATTTTTAGTTCTAATTTATTACAAAGCAGCACCTTATTAAATGCTTTCTACAAATCCAAATATATTACAAATGCTGGTTTTCCTTTCTCCAACCTACTTGTTACATGCTAAGGAACTCTAATTAATTTTTCCAACACAACTTCCCCTTCCATGAAATTCTGATAACTCTGCATGATTGAATGATTCTTTTTTTAACTGTTCTGCTATTACTTCCTCAATAATGTATTACAGCATTTTCTCAGCAAAAGATGTTGGGATAATTGGCCTAAAGTTTCTGCTTTCTGACTCCTCCTTTACATTTGCAAACCACAAGAGAGATCTGTGTGTAGTGAGACACTGGGCATAACTGTGTGACTGGCAGACAGGGTGAAAGGATAGCACAGTTGCCTGTTTACCCAAGGGCATGGCTGCAGATTGGATCTGTTGCAGATGAGGATTTCAATAGGCTGGGCTATGATGATAGACTGATGGATACACATCATTTGGTGTACTGAAAGCCCACCAAGGAGGAGTCAGGTTTATAGGATTTAAGAGCCATAGCGACCTTAAAATGTACAGGAATTGCTATCATTAACCTGTCCAGAAGTTGCAGTAATGGAAGCAGCAGCTGTCTGATTTAAGTCAGATGCTCTTTAGCAAAGCATAGGCATCTTAAGCACTAGATTTCACTTGAGTAGATGTAAGAAAGTTGCTAGTAACCCTTGGAGGCACAGTTTTCAGCTGAGAGCTCATCCTCCCCTCCAGCTGCTAACAGCTTGTTCTGCTGTGGGTGACCTCTCTTCATTCTCCCAGTTATGAACAATTCTAAGAGGAAGGCTCAGTAAATCATGGATGTCTACCCTTCAGTGCCAAACAAACAGTCCCTTTAGATGATTTAAGCTTCAGAAAAATATCGTAAAATGTCAGAAGATGTGCTCAATACACAAACAACCAAAAGGAATAATCCTATAATTAATCTAAAAGTAGTTTATGATACATTTAGTAGACAAGAGTGGGAGGATGGGAGTTCTTCATGACATTTCAAATGTATTCAGCTATTTAAGGTTAGGTCAAGGTGCAGGCTACAGCACTATGTTGAAAATGGCAACACAAAAATCAAATCAACATTGCAGACTAATGTCATTAATCTTCCTGCTCTGTGTATTGCTGGAAGTAATTTGGCCCGTGCACATTTATAAACTCACTTACCAAGTTAGTGTGTGGTGAACTTCCCATCAGCAGTGTGGCTAGACATCCTGGATGCCAAATAAACAGCTACTACACAAGTTGATTTAGGTCCTCCTTTTGTCTGGATTTCAATGAGTGAGCTTTTAATGGATTTGAATATGTCAAATCCATATTAAACTATATTCATAATCAGGAAGCACAACCTCATCCTTACAACAATAATAACAGCATTTTTCACATTCGTGGAATTACTTAGCAATTCCACAGCCAACAGATTAGGGTAAACTCCAAAATACTATAACATTCAGCCATGAATAATGTTGTACAATTAAACAGCTATAAAGAGGAGGTGGTTATGTGTTTATTCACCATACTCTATGATGGTGAAGTAAGAAACAAAGCTGAAACTTGACAGCTATCTTCAGCTGAAAGTGTCAACCAGTTGCTCATTTTCAGCAATCTCTGCAGAAGCTTATCTTTACACAATTCAGTGAACAGCAAGTCACATCGAAAAATGATGGCATTCACTGCTCAAAGTAAAGGCTACAAGGCCCAAAAACACTCTCCGTTACATTTCTTCACACTCCTTAAACTCCCATAGAGCTGGAAAAACTCACCAGGATTTTGTATAAGAAAGCAGCATTAATCCAACCTGGTCATTATATTAGCCCACTCTCAAACATCAGTAAAGTGGTGAAGCAATTATCAACAATTCTATCATTAGCACTTATTCACCAATGACCTGTTCACCAATTTTCAGTTTGGGATTTACTTGGTCCACAGATTTGACCAAGCGAGCAACAAGACCTATTGACCGATCAATCACAGGAAAGTACATTTGAAGACAGTGAAGGGATGGTGAAGTTTTTAAAATGCCCAGAAACAGCATGCTTAACAGTCTCTAACTTTGACCACTAACTGTTACCACCTCTAAAGTAACTGCAATGTTTCATAACTTTAAGTGCACATACTTTATCCACAGTGACCCACGACACAGCGTAGATGTTTATAATATTCAATTTTATAATTTAACTCTAAATAGCAGTTTGCATTGAGCTGGTGGAATAGATGCAAAGAAATGCTGAATTGAATGAAGAGTTACAGATCCTTGCTCCTGGTTAATAATTGACTATTGCAAAACGGTATTCTGCTAATTTGTAAATTGTAGCTTCCTAAGGTTACAAAATACAACTTAAAAAACAACTGTCTCACCTGCTAACAAAAGATAACAATTAAAACTTACAGAACTGTGTAAATATATTCAGAAATGAACCAAAATATGAAAACACTGCATCTTAACAACAGCAGGGAAGATTTTGACCTTGTGGAGATATTAAATCAATGGTCAATTTTACTTTTCTCCAGATTTTTATTTCACCATCCAACAAAATTAAAATCTATCACCAGCATACTTTGCCTGGTTAGATATAATAATAAAGGTCGTTACAAGCATAGAATTAAATGATACACAGTAAATGTACTACCTGCCGGTTATTAAGAAGAACAGGGTGAGGATAACGAGAAGAGTGAATCCTCCAACTGCAGCAGTTGCAATGACCAAAACTTGCCCTTGTTCTGTGGTAATGTCAGATGCTGGAACAGAAATGGAAAGAAAAGGATACTGAAGTATAATAACACAACTGGTACCATTTTATGCAAGTTGCAATAAATGCAATAAAATATTCTTAAAGCAGAAGAGGTAAGAAAAATGTATATGAAAAAAAACAATTAAATGACTAATATCAAAACTTTAGTGAGTGGAAGGTTACTAGCATTTGTTATGTAATTATCCAGAGATAAGATTATAGACCTCCACTTAAATTTTTGTTAAGCATATTATTGTACAATTTATGCTGAGAATATGTTTCTCCTTTAATGTCATCGGATACCATGGTGGACATTGAATACAAGCATGTGTAATGTGTGATAATGAGGATGCCATCATTAATTACAATAAAATCACTGCAAATATGTTAATTGATAAGCCATATCAGAAATAATAGCCAGTAGATATAAATTTAAATTGTAACATCAGTCCATTCCATTTTGAATTTCCACAGTGTTCCAGTTTCAATATGTTAAATTATTCTGGTTGTCAGTCAGTTTAACATAATATAGTGTCACATATGATTGATCACCCAAGCTATAGTAACAATATAAAGTGAGAGCAAACTGATGAAGACCACATTGGTAGAACTTTCCTTTCTTAATCTTGTGATATGTGCATCTCGGCAAGGTCAGCATTCATTGCCCCATTTAATTGTTCTTAAATGGAATGGCTTCCTAGGCAATTTCAGAGGAATGCTGTGGACCTGGACTCAAGAAAGCAAAAAAAGCGACAAATATGGTAGACAGGGTGGTGAAGAAGGTATTTGGCATGCTTGCCTCCATCAGTCACAGCAATGAGTACAAGAGTTAGAATGTCACGTTAGGACTGCACAAGCCATTGGTAAGGCCATATTTGGAGCACTGCATACATTTCTGGTCACCCTACTACAGGAATGATGTTACTAAACTGGAAAGGATGCAAGAAAGATTGACAAGGATGTTACCGAGGCTGGAAGGTTTGAGTTATAAGGAGAGGCTGGATAGACTGGGATTTTTTCCGCTGGAGTGTAGGAGGCTGAGGGGTGACCTTATAGAGGTTTATAAAATTACTGAGACTATCTTTTAAATAATAAATTGAATTTACATCCCTCCAGCAGTCATAGTGAGATTTGATTCCATGTGCCCTGCAGTCCTCGGGAACAGAACACATTGACATTACCACCACATAACTGTCTGCCCATAAATACTTAACTGTCCCAATATCTTCAAATCAGGGTGGATTGGAAACAAGTAGGGAAATATAAATTTATGCACACTGCTGATTTGTACACACACACAAACTCTGGAAAATTAGTTTAAACTCAAGGATTAGTGCTTAGTCTTTTGTTACATTTTCACAAGAAAACAGAGTCAAAAGTATTGATTTCAGCATAGAACTTCCTGTTTCTGATGTTGGACTTCTTAGAACTGCATCCACATTGACAATTAAGGCCTGGTGGGTAACTAAAACAAGTGCCATGCCCCTGCCGTGTGTAAATGAGGAGCTTAAGGTTTGTTTCATAGACTTTTACTGAAATCGGTTGTTACAGGTCCAACTTGAATTCTTCAGCAGCCACCAAAATGTGCATTTTTAAAATTACAACGGACATTTGGAAGGAAAGCAGGGTAGTTCTCCCCAGTGCCCTGCCAATTAACCAACATCACTGAAACACAATTTTCTTAACGATGCTTAGGTCTGGCCATTGCAACTTCAAATGAGAACAGATACACAATTAAAAAACGAAAATCGAGGAATTTCTATTGGAGATGCGCTGCTCTACACTTAGCTTCACAAAAAAAGGCTTCTCTGATTTTATCATTACATTCATTGGGTAGCACGAAGCACCTTTAGTTACATGAGACATACAAAATAAGTTGACCATAGAAAATTATCTCCTTTCAGATCTAAGTACCTTTTCAATAACATGATCAGTAATAATTACCATTAATTACCTTCCCTAGCAATAAAAAAAACCTCATTTATTCAGGATTAAAGTTCGGAGACTTAAAGTATACGAAAAATATTCTCTTTGCCAGTCCTTTTCAATATTTCTTTCTTAATCAAAATATCTTTCTCTCATTTTTTCTCTTTCCATATCTGATTTGGCATTAAATGCACCCACTCTAATTTGCAGCCTTATGCTGCATATTTCACCATCCTTCAATCTGATTGATTAAAGATGTACACAGTTGCTTACACTGTTCACTTATGTCCCAGATATTGTATCCAGGTGCCATGTCATTTCCATTTCACATGTAAAGTAACTTGTAGTGAAAACTATTGTCAAACCTAAATGATCACCGGCAGGTCCAATTAACAGTGGCCCAACAGCTATTGCGTGAATACAGCAAAGTCTGAGCCATTATCTGCTCCTTATTACAATGATCTCTGTAGGGCCTCGGTGTGTGCATTTGGCTGCCACATTTCTCAAATTTTAACAATTTACTTCAAATGTTTGGAACATGCTAATATTCTGAAAGGTATTGCATAACAGCAAGTTCTTCTCTCTCTTAAATAAAAGAAAATTACTGTGGATGCTGGGAGTCTGAAATAAAAATAAATAGAAAATGCTAGAGAAATACAATAGATCTGGGAGCATCTATGGAGAGAGAAACAGAATTAACATTTTGAGTCCAATGACTCATCTTTGAAGCTGAAAGTGCTGAAAAAATGTTTTTTAATGTTGTTGACAAAGTGCCCAGTGCACTTTAATGGTGGTGAGGGAGTGATTGCAATGTAAAATAGGTGTTAATGACAGGTTTGACGAGAAGAAAATAGCTTAGCTCTGTTGAGAGCAAATCAAGTAAGACACTAATAAGACACAGGTGGGTTTGGGATGGAGTGGAGGGGTAAGGAGAGTTGTAATCAAAATGAAGGACAGTATTCATGCTGTAAACTTGTTAAACTCAACGTTGAATCCTGAAAGCTGTAAAGTGCCTTAACAAAATTGAAGTATTATTCCTTCAGCTTATGTCAAGCTTTGCAGCTAACACTGCAACAGGCTAGGATGAAAGTATTAGCATGGGAGCAAGATTTTTAAAAATGGCAAGTGGTCTTCTATGGCCCCATCATGGGTCAGGAAATTCCTCAGAGATGCTGCTATGTTGCTGCTCTGTATTTACAACTTCAGCGCAATTCCTATTAGCATGCGTAAATCACAAAGTAATGGTGGTTGAGCAGCTGCAAGGAAATCCCTGGCCATTATGCTAATTTGTATTGTCAGCTTGTAATAAACAGTCGAGGACACAACACCATTATAGTGCATTTAGATCTTAAATTGAAGAAGAGCTTCACCGTACAATTCTGATTGTTTAATCCTACCGAAGGAAGTAGGGAATTGCCAAGATTTTCTAAATGTTGAAAGCTGTGATTCAACAAGACCTCATAAATTGTACAAAAATATTAATATCTGTGTCCTCAATTCTGATAATCATAAACCCTGATAGAATTGATGATCATGCTGGGATAATTTTTTATGCTCATCAGACAGCATGATCGCTGACTTAGTGTCAAAGTGCAGTAGTGGGAGGCAATAACAACGGCTTGTATTCTTCTACATGGATTTGGCAGGGTAGTAAAATTTTAATAGCAGTAGCAAAACAACAGAATAAAACCAATTATCAGGGGCTGAATCCAATTAATTTCAGCCAAAGAGCAATTCCATAATCATAATTGCCGACAAACCAACATTTTGTAGTCACGCTCAGTTAAGTCTTTAATGCTAGTTAGTGTGATGAGTTTTATTATCATACTCAATCAAAATAACAGGAATGCATTGTGCACTGATTTATGAGGCAGCATCATGCATCTTCTGCATCTTTGAACTTGTCTTAGACACTGCTTTAAGACATTTTGCATTGTATTACCATAGCTCATTAAGGTGAATATAATGGACAGATGTGTACAATTTACTTGGAGGACACCATTGCCTTTCACAACTGAAACTCAAAAATGCATAATTTTGCCAGGATTCCAGATCAAAGAGTTCCGACTCTTATTGAACATTTTCAGAGCAGTTCCAATAGAGCCCAGAAAATGCACAATTACACATTGAAGGTCATAAACTTGAATTTAAAGACTGGTTTGGGCAAGGAAAGTTATTAATTATATTTGTGAGAGCTCTTTACTGCAACAACAACAAACATCAGCAGAATATTACAAACTGAATTGTTTAAGTTTACCCTTACCATTTTGCATATGTGCAGTACTTAACTCCCCAAAATTCTTCCCATCATGTGTTTGTCAGCAAAAGTTTAGCAACATATTATTTGCAGTGGCTGGCATATAGAGTTTCTTAAAATGAATGGCATTTTTATAATGGGCTCAAGAGACATTAATACATATTGTCTTACTGCAGAATGAATTACTAATGAAAAACACTTGGTTCTAATTAACATAAAGAGCTTAGGATAAAAGAAAAGAAGTGTGAGTTTCTTTCAGGTATAACACAATGAAGCATTTATGCAAAGATAATGAAACCATTTGAATCCTTTCAGACATTATGGAACTGAAGTCGAGCAGAGATACATTAAAGCACGTGTCATTTGTTCTATTTATACAGAGATGCCAGAGAATCAAGCAATTGCTAGGAACTTGGTTGTCATTAATTTTCTGAGACACAAACTAAATCATAAAAAATGATGATGCAATCGTGAAGGCATAATTATTCCTTTACCTGTGAGATTGTCTCTATAAATTAGATGCCATTGGACAACAACACATAAAACTAGCTAGTGAAGTGGGCATATGGATTACCTGGCTCCTACGGTGTGGAAGCAGGCCATTCAATCCATTGAGTCCACACAGATCCTTTGAAGAGCATCCCACCGAGACCCACCCCATCTCTGTAACCCGGTATTTATCATGTCTACCCCACCTAGCTTACACATCCCTCGACAATATGGGCAACTTAGCACGGCCAATTTGCCTAACTTGCACATCTTTGGACTGTGGGAGGCAACTGGAGAAAACCCACGCAGACACGGGGAGAATGTACAAACTCCACACAGACAGTCGCTCGAGGGTGGAATCGAACCCCGTCCCTGGGGCTGTGAGGCAGCAGTGCTAACGACTGAACAACCATGCTGCCTCCATGGAGTTAATCAATAATGAAACATGTTCAACATTAATCATGCAGCAAGTAATCAACTTCAAACAATGGCAACTTGCTTCAGGTACTTTCCTTTCCAATTTCTCCTCCTTTCTTGAAAACATTGCCCCTTTGCTAAGGTATGGTACCGTAGGTCTGAGTCATTCTTCAGTAGCTCAGCAAAGTGCCATTTTTCATGGTTTCTCTTTAGCAGCAAGAACCAAATATAGAATCGTCTGAGCCAAGTCTCATCCTATTCTCACCCAACATATAGCACTTCAGTTAGAGATGTGAAATTATTATCAAGTAGGAGAATATTAACACTTGTTGTTGTCCACTTTTATCTTCCTAAACTGGCAGCCTTGGAACTGGGCCTTTGCTGGACCAGAGAATTTGCTAGTGAGAGTACAGAGAGGAGTGCATGGGGCAATGAGTATTTTGGATTGAGGATCGAAATTATTCCGGCTAAATTAAACTTTAAAAGTAATTACATTAATTCTGTTTCAAAAGAGTTTGAACAGAGAGTTGCTACCATGTTAATAGAAAAGATACTGAGGAAAGAAAAGACAACCACCACAGACGGTCAATGTATGCCTTTTTTAAGAAAAATTTCCAGCTTAGTCTTCTATGTGATTGTAAAATTTGTGAGCAAGATAAATTAAGACAGTGCTGAGTAATACTTAGCGTCATGTTTCTTAAATAGCAATTTCAGAAAAGTCTGGTTACCATAATCAGGGACGTTTCCACATCAGTGTTCATTGTGTTCTCTCAATACAATTCTCTAATGTTTGAACATAGCTTTGTGCTGGGGACTGTTACAAAAGTATTGAGAATTCCCAAACTGATTTCACCTTGTGAACCTGTTCTATCGTTAATGATGGGAGATGCCTCCAAACTATTTGACACGTTGACATGTTAACAGAAACCAAAGCTAACTTTTGACTTATCAAGATTTTTTTAAAAGAAAATTTAAGAACATAATTCAAGAAAGACTAAGCATTAGTATTGCTGTAATTCCTTAATTACCAGAACAGTACAATACTGCAGTAAGTCTGGAGATTTAAGGAATCAAATACTTCCTTCTGTATGAAATAATCATTGACTGGCTATAGTATGGAAGGAGGCCTTTCAGCCTGTTATTTTTATGCTGTCTCTGTATTTAAGCAGTTCACCCCATAAATTCTCCCCTATTGCTCCATATTCTTACTTTTCAGAAAATATACTGGAGGAACTCAGCAGGTGTGGTAATAGCCGTGGAGAGAAAGCAGAGTTAACAATTCAAGTCTAATTTGAAACAGTTCTGAAGAAGGGTCACTGGACCCGAAACATTAACTCTGTTTTCTCTCCACAGATACTGCCAGACCTGCTGCGTTTCTTCAGCAATTTCTGTTTTTATTTCAGATCTTCAGCGCCTGCAATCTTTGTTCCATTTTGCTCAATTTTGTAATCATTTTGCTGATCTTTTTATTCTATTAGCTGTAAGTTTGTTCAAGAGTCTGCATTGTGGCTCTTTATCAGATGCCATTAGGAAGACCATAATCACCACATCAACAGCATCACTCATCAACCTTGTCTGTTACTTCATCAAAAGCTCGATCAAGTTAATTAAACATTATTTGTCCTCAACAAACCTATGTGGGATTTCCTTATTAACTCGTATTTGCCTGCATGACTATCAAATTTGTCACAAATTATTGTTTCTAGATAGTTTCCCACCACCAAGTTTAAAATTCCCAGATTGGAAAAGCCTAGGTAACTAGACCCCTAATTATCTTCAATCACATCACTCCTGAGCCCCAGATTCAGACTGCCCCCTACCAAACCTGAAACCACAACTCCTTCCATCAACTCGATCTCATTCCACCTGACGAACTCCCCTGATACTCCAACTATGCCCCCTAGACAATTCAACTCCTCCCTCACCTGATCTGACCTCACCACTCAACTTACCCTCAGCCTCTGACTCCATCAACTCACACTTAACCATCCATCTCAAACTCCCAAGTATTTCTCCACCTGAACTGAACTCACCTCCAGACTAACCTCCAACTACCAACACACTCTATCTATCTTTCGCAAGACTCCTCCCTCTTAGCAATATGACCCAACTAACACACCTATTCTCCAATTCCATTCCCTGACCTGAACCTAAGTTACAACCAGTAGAATCAGTCAACAATTAACTTGAAAGTAGACAATAATTCCATTAAATAATGTAATTGCTGGTGCCCTTCCTGATGCTGAATGAATATTTAGATGTGAAAATCTATGTAAGGGCATTGGCTGGAGCACAGTGGTCCAAAGTAACACTACTGCCAACTGACTGACTGACATCATGAGCTACCTGCTCTGGTGAACAGTCAATACACACTTGCTAACGCCTGTATCAAATGGTGTCAGGTGGGATTATTCCTCAGTTGTGCTTGTGCACGTTCCATGGATATCATTTTGGAACTCCGAGGCTACTCGTATACCCAAAAATATATCTGAATGAGTCCAATTTCTCACCCATTTTGCTTAAACTTTTGGGTTTTGATGCATTTGTCCCTGAGAGAACTTAATAGGGAAGCTTCTTTTTTCAACTGTGTCAGTTTGTATCCAATTCAGCATACAAATCAACTCGCAAGTAGCAAAAATCTGAACCATGTCTTATAAAAGAGGTATTCAGGAATGAAATACAATTGTCAACCTCTTTCCCATTTTTACTGGAACACAAATGTATTGATCAAGGGGAAATACTTTCCTCCAGGTACCAGCCTATTAAATGAAGGGAATGCAAGTTAACATTAAAAAGAAACTGGTAAAAGTGCCAAATGATATTATGAATGGCTTTACTGTTAGTATGTGTCATTTTTACTTTGCCTGATTTTAGAGGTATGTTATGCAGCAAAAAGATTTAGTAGAACTAAATGTGAAATGGTTAGCTAGAATTTAGACATGTAAAAAAACATAGCTGTTATTATTGAAACCAATCGAATGATTGTAATCTGCTAGTGCTGTATAGTTTTTGAAATAATCTGTTAAACATGTAACATAAACACTAGATTATATAACATCATAGCACATTATGGGATAAATCTGCTAGGTATTTATGAATTTCCTCAAAAAGAAACAATAAAGTTTTGTTACTTTTTTAGAAAACTTATGGATGTTAAACAAATACATTAAAAAGAAGAGCAAAACAAGTAACAACATGTCTAAGTGCTAAAGAATACATAAAGGAAAAGTTATGGGCAACAATCCACATAAACCTACATTCATCTCCGGTTTCAAACTCAAACTTCTGACTGTAACTGCCATATCCAGCCGCAGTCCGAGCACGGATCTGAAATACATATTTCGTAGCATGCTTCAGTCCATTAATGATTACACTGGAAGATTTGGACCTTGTAGAGGAGTAGCTGAGTTGTTCGTGTTCCTGCATGAAATTAAGGATAAATTACTTGAAGATCAAAACGAAACCTGCTGCGGATTAAATGGCTGCACAAGTCCAAAATGTCTTTCTCACCCATGGCTTACCCACAGAAGTGTAAACAAATTGGTACAGTTTTAGGAAGTGTGTTTGAATCCGTTTGCTGTTTTTTAAGATCAGGGACGTTAGCACTGGAGAACAGACCAAACTGTTTTTCACTATCAGTAGCTATCATTGCCCTGTTACAACATGGACATAAAGCAATCTCTATGTTTTCAACCCACAGGGAAATTGTTATCCTTGTACCAAGTCCAGCAAAATGTTGCAAAATGTTATTTTATAACATATATATATATGTGATGTGTAGAAACTATTTTTCCCGTTACATCTCAAAAAGCCTCAGAAAAGCTTCCTATCCTTGGGTCCTTTCTTAGAAATAGTGTCAATTTAGTGAATTGAGTTCAATGTTAAATTGTTTGGATCTTTTTATGAGATATATTTCGAGGTAAATAAGTAGCTGGTGATTTTTGTAAAGAAATTTTGAATTTACATGGACACAAAATAGTGTTCATGTTTGTGAGGTGGATTCAAATTCAAATTATGCAAATGTTGAAATGCTGGACAAATCCATGATGCAGTCCAGATACTAACATAAACATTTCATCAGGAACAGTTAAATTAATGACTGCATATTGAAATTGGATATTGTCATAATCTGGATAAAATTGTTTACCTAAAGAACAACAGTTTTTTAAGCTAGTTTACTGAGACAGAATGCAGTACCATGTTTTGCATAAAGGCCCTTTCAAACAATGGCCATCAAGAAGACAAGAAATTGGCATGGGAGTAAGCCATCAATTTCCTTGAGGCTTTTCCACCATTCAAGAAAATCACGGTTGATTTTCAACCTTACTGGCACAGGATTTGTGCAAGTAAGTTTTTTTGTCACAGAAATTTTGTAACATTGTATAAGTAAGTATACAGGTATAAGTTGTTCTGATTGTCCCGTGTGGAATTCCAACAGCAATTCCAGATTTCTGTCATTACAAAATAGTAAGCAGTTCAGAATGAGTGATGACACTGGAAGTCAATCACAGATCACCAACATCATTTGAAGCTTAAGATTATAATACAATTTTGACTTCGCTCCTCTGTAATTAGTGTCAAAGATTCTGAAAGAATAATCTCAGAACCTGAGTTGGGCTGCTGCAATCTGAATGTATTCTGCCAGCTGCACTGAGATTTAAGAAAAATGCCACCCATACAAAATAAGATCGCTTGGTTTTTTTTTGTCATCTAGCTAATCTTACCATGAAGTGCCAACGGATAAGCTACTTTTCCCTTCTTTATGATGGAGCATACCATCAGCTGGAAAACTGTAGGAGGTAGCTGATTTTTTCAATTTTGCAAAGTTTACTCTATCTTATTTCAGTAGTCCTTGGCATGGCTAAGTAATGGATGTTGCTACCTTTAAGGGGAGGCCTGAGTCCCAGAATTGTCCTTTTCTTCTCCCGGACATTCTGCATGCTTCAGCTCGCCAGCTATTAGTGAACTTGAGAACATGACATGCATGTTGTCTGCTTTATTGGTATAGTGATTGTAATGAGGTCAGCCAGCTGGGCCTCATATAATATGAGTTCCCTGATTGGGTCATGTTAACAACCCCAATCAGGGAGCCCTGGCTGACAGATAAGAACATCCTGTCTACTCTGAGAGCTGGCTTTGAGGGAGCTAGATCTGTATTAAAGACTCTCCATAAAGGATGGCCTGGTGACAGGATACTGGCCCCTGTGGAGATTTTTCAGTAATCTTGGAAAGCAATCTTTATTTTAATTCTCCAGAGTTTGGGTTCATATCAGAAGACTTTTCTTGTTTTCCATTGACCAGAGAGAGGAGTTATGAACAGGCAAATGAACTTTGAATAAATTAAAATAACTAACACTATTTTCAATGCAGCCTTCTGTGATGTACTGGTGAATGGTTGTATTCTATATCTGATAGGTTATTTTCTTACTGGCTGACTCTCCAAACTGTTTTTCATGCAACGTCAGATGATGTGCTGTTTATAATGACTGGAACTCTGTGGCAGGTAATATGCGATATAATATTCTGTTAAGCAGGTGCTTAACTAATCATGTCAAGTTTGGTACCGCAAGGTCTCATGTCTGTAAATGTAAGACAAAATTAGACATTCATGGTTACTGAGGGAAGAATAAAGTTTAGCTGATTCTATAAATCTAGTTTAAAGAATTGGATAACTTGTCTTCTCTTTTTTAATGGATTTACTCCTTTAAAAGATGATGGGTGTCAGAGTGTGGCATATGTTATTGACTTAAACCATAGCAAAGACTTTCCTGCTGCAGTGCTTGTGGTAAACAAACCAATAAATAACTTTAAAGGCCATTACACTATTCACTCATTAATGTGCAGCAGTGTTTAACTTAGTGTGTGTTTTTTTTTAATACTACATGGGATAACTGTTGGGTCCTTTCTTAGTTAATTTGAAATAGCCTATACCTCGCCAGATATGTCATGAATGTCCTGTTCCTCTCCTTATTGTATGATGATGCTTCATCCTGATCAGGTTTCTTGCAGCTTTTATCAGTGCTGGCTTGTGACTGCCTTCTACTCTCAGGGATGGAGGAAGGAGCAAGGTCCCAAATTTGCCTCAGCCCAAACAGGAACCAAACAGGTACTGATGACCATCTAGCCAACTGATCTAATCAGAGTCCTACTTGCCAGATGCTCAGATCAGTTTCCGGCCATACCAGCTTTCCTTTTCACGTATAGCATTTTAAAAAATATCTGCTGAGTGCATTTAGAAGCTGTTTTTTGTTCACAGTGATGACTGCATGTAACTTCGTTTTTTACCACTTTTAAAACTGAGACACAAATTTGCATGTAAACAACAACTTCCATTTATATAGCACCTTTAAAGGAATAAAACATCCAAAGGTTTATCATAGAAACAGAGACAAAATATGATGCAAATCCTGAAATTGAGATATTTGGACAGATGATAAAACAGCTTGATTGAACCGTTAGATTTATAGAAGCATCTTTGTGTAAACTGAGATGGGGAGGCAGAGAGATTTTTTTTTAGGAACTCTGGAGCTTTGAACCTTGGTAGTTGCAGGCACAGCCATCAATGGTGGAGTGCTTCAAATCAGCAATGCTCAAGAGGCCAAAATTACAAGGACACTGAGGGTTGTGGAGTTGGACACGATTGCAGAGCTAGCAAGGAGTGAAGCCATTAACTGATTTGGAAACAAGGACGAGGATTTTAAAACAGGGCATCGCTTAGCTGGGAGCTAATATAGGTCACTGACCAGAAGGGTAATGAGTGAATAGGACATTGTGAGAGTTAGGACATAAACAGTCAAGCTTTAGATTGCCTGGGGTTTAAGACGGTTAGAAGATGGAAGCAGACAATGTATGATGGTTACATTTCACAACTTTTTACATATATACATTAACATTCCCGTTACTAATTTTTTATGTTGGATGATACCATTTGTAGCATTCAGGTATCTGGTATATGTTGAGCTGGCTGCTTCCACCTCATAGCATATTGAAATCTCATTCAAAAATGCAGGAGCTACTGGGCAGTTGTAGAAGTGTAACCTCAACATTCATTAATGAATGTAAACAGTTGTGTGCTTTTGTGGGACGACGTCACTTGTGCAAATGCACAGGCTCCTCCAATTAGAATATTGCCTTTTAATAACTCCCAGGTGTCCTCTACTGCAAAGATACCTAGGCTTCGTATGGCCAAGTGTCTATGCTCAAGGCAAGACTGACAGCTTGGAAATGATGCTGCTAGCAATTTCATCTCTTACCTCCATTCCCAGTGAACTTGGTCCTCCACAAAAACAGATGCACTTCAATTTCTAATTATGTGTGAGATTTTACTTTCTGATACAATGTCAAGGTTAACAGTAGGAACAAATTAACTATTAAATTAATCATTGGCAAAGGCCTGTACTGGGACAGCCAATCACATCAACAGAAAACCAGGCACAGTTATTTTGAGGTTCATTTTCCTTTAGTAGTCACCACTTAGAATATTAATGGGAAAACAAATATTTCAATTCATTTTAAAATTATTGCACAAAATTATGATTCGGTTCTTTATACGTTATAAGGCTTCATTATGAGATTGTCAATTTTGCGTGTAATTTCTCAGGAACTAAATATTGTGTACAGTGTCATTCTCGATGGATCCTTACTTTTTCATAGTACTTTATCTCGTAGTCCAGAATGATTCCATTTGGATGCTCAGGCTCCTGCCATGACAGACCAATACTGTTCTGGGATGCCCAATCTTTCCTCAGAAACCTAATCAGAGAGGGAGCTGAAAGGACAAAAGTTTCTGTAAAAATATTCATAGGGAAAACCAGCTCAAGTGAATCTTTGGCTTTTGGATCAGTTTAGCAGCAGTTGTCAAAGTGCTATAATGCAACATGCGATTGTGGTTATTTCAATTTCACAGGTGGACACCCTTAGTCTCTTCTGTTAACCACTGTTTTTGAACTTCACTGCCTGCTGTGCTTGGCCAATAACTCCCCTGACTCTCGTCCCATCAATGAATCTAAGTGGTTTATTGACAACAGGTCACAAACAGTGCTGCATGAGTGATGGGGCATTAATTTACTTGTTTGTGCTTAATCAAGAGCACGAACACTGTGCTTTGTTTGCTTCTAATATAGCTCTGTGTGGAGCTGTCAGAAAGATACAGTCACAATCATTACCAAAACAAAGCAAGCATCCATCATCAAACCAAGCTAAACATTTGTGCCACCTCTTCCGTTCTTCCAAAATAAGTTTTTCTTTGGAATGTGGATGTTGCTGAAAAGGGAATATTTTATTGCCCCTTGCCCTGAATGAATGGTGATGGGTCTCCTGAGTGAACTGCTGGTAGTGATATTATACAGCTGAGTAGATTGCTAGTTCACTTCAAAGACAATTAAGAAATAACCATGCTGGTATGGATCTACAATCACATTAAAAGTCAGACTTGGTAAGGTTTCCTTCAAAGTGGAGGGTGCTTTTACAGCAACCTAACGGCTTTATGCATACCTTTATTGGTACCACCATAACTCCCTCACAGGTTTATTAAACTAAATTTGGATTCTCAATCTGCCATGATGGAATTTGAGCTCATGATCCCTGGATTACTTGTCCATACCATATGCACAACATTACCGTGTCCATTCAAATACATTGACAAAGCAATCTTCAAAAAGCTTTTAATTGAAAAGAATTAGTGTGAGAATCACATCCCTGTCATAAAGAAAAATGGCAGAGATGCAGAATACATTTTAAGAAATAAAATTGGAAGTGTGAACCAGTTACTGAGGCTGCCTGCCCAGTTGCAGGTATGTGAAATAATAATTATTTTAATATCACACATTATTGTTTAAATTATTTATATCATCATCATTAGCAATACTCAAGAATTTTTTGGAAATGACATTGTGTTACCTTTTTGCACATCTCTACCAACATCCCATTCTCTGGAAGCCTGGAGAATAGGACTTTGGCAACATTATTGCTGTTGACAATTATGCATTCTATGCCATAATGAAGGGCTATTAGGCAGTGTTTTATGGCTACTTATGATAGGTGCTCCTCTAATTTTTCCTCCCCACCAGAGATAAATTGTTTGTACTTTTAAGATATTTGCTAGGAAAACTCACCCATTGAGGAGACACAAAATTCTTAACGCAATCAGACTACCTTCACACCCAGGACTCTGTATGGATTTCTAATATTCTGCCATGGTCACCAAGTCAAACTTACACATTTCACTTAATTTATGTTTTCACATCTTCCATGGGGAGAAAGCTGCAGGATATTCAAGGCAGCTTTAATGGGAGGCAGAACTTCAGAAAGGGTGATCAAAGCTGAGATTGTCTACAAGTTACTGCATTTGTGATTGAGGGTTGCTGCCGCCAATCTTTTGTCCTTTGACTGGATACAGGGGCTGAATTGATTTCCAGTGGCAGAGGATCAATCATTACTGTGTCCTTACAAGAAGAGGCTCTTTTCTTGACAAGGTTTGGTTTGTTGCATAAGTTAGGCATTGTCATCTCGGGTACTGGTTATAGAGGGGTTAATGGTACATTGGTTCCTCCCTGTTTGTTGATGTCATACACAGTCTGTGGATGGAAAGAAGTTCTACTCGAGCTTTCAGAGGGAGCGGACGTATCTATACTAGCCCCCTGACATTCCAATAATTATAGCTGACCAAATGCAGTTGTACTAAATGCTTTCATTCAACAAACCTTCTTGTTATCAAAGAACATGCCTTTTCTGTAGATACTCTCCAGTCGTGTATTCTCTAGCATAATCACACAATAGACCCAAGACAAAGTAAAGATAAAGGAGAACAGTTGTCAGTGGGCTATCTCAAGTGATCTTTACACACTACCACATTCCCCAATGTGCCAGCCATGGTTATCTGAAAAAAATACCACAGAAACAGAGTGCATTAGCTCATTGTACATTAGCTAATTAGATGTTGTGACTATGATTGTGAGCAGATTTGTGGATATCCAAGTCTGCACTCCACAAGATCCTAAGATAGATTCCTTATCCCCATCCAAACCTGTATCACATCATCACATTGGATGGATCTTAATGTGTTCTCCAACATTAACCATTTCAGAACCATTACCTAATACACCAGTCGCCATGGAGAGCTATCTGTGTTTCATGACAGCACATATGTTGTCACTATAGAATTAGAAAACGAGAGAAGTAATATAAACAAATGGCACATTTGTAGGCAGAGCATTCCAGATCATGACAACTCACTCTGAAAAAAAAGTATTTTTTTAAGCTGCTGCAGGAGTAGACACAGCTGTTCTGACATATGTTTGCATATTAATAGGACAAGTTGACAAATCTGTTGAAAAAAACATCCAGATTCCCCCTGAACTCTACTGATAGTTGAAAATAATTCCAGGCCGCAAACAAAATACAACTCTGGATACACTTTAGGGGGGATTTCAAGGCTTTGCAGAGGGTAGAGACAAAATTGACAGCACAGTGCCAGGGATTGTTCCTCAATTCAATCATTTGGAGAAAATAGAAAAGCTCAGCTTGTTCTATAGAGAAGGTTAAGAGGCAATTTGATAAATGTGCTCAAAATTGTGAACGGTTTTGATTGAATAAGTAGTGGAAAAACGTTTTCGGTAGCAGAAGCACTGGTAACCAGACGACACAGATTTAAGATTAGCAAAAGAAGTAGCAATGATATGAGAGGCTTTTTTTTTTACAGAGCAAGTTGTGATCCGGAATGCACTGCCTACAAGAACTGTGGAAACAGGTTCAGCCATAATATTCAAAAGAAAATTGAATTAATACTTAAAGGGAAGGATTGACAGGACTATGGTCAAAGAGTAAAGGAGCAGAACTAATTGGATAGCTTTACTAAGGAGTTGGCACAGGCACAATGACTTCCTCCTGAGCCGTATCATTCTATCAGCACACTGCGCATTGTTAGAACATAGATAACAACCATTATGCAAACAATCAGTGGGTTTGAGATGTGTGCGCATTAGCAATTGTTGAAGAAAATCTACTTTATTAAAATTTTTTCACAATACCTGAAGTGGAAGTTTGTCAGAATGTCCTGATGAGTAATTGGACATAATGGCTGTAAAATTGTTAATAGCAGCGACATTATCTGGACAGCATTATTACATACTCACTCATCCTCAACTTGAAATGTTTTGAGAACCCTGTTCCTGTCAGTCTTAGCTGACAAACACTAGCAAAGGATTTAAACTTTCGGTACTGTGCAGAAGCAAATTTAACGATGCACCTCTCTGGCCACACTTGTCTGTGTAAGGCATTGGCGGTCTATCATTTTCTTCAACAGCTGATATAGGCAGAAGTGAGAAAACAGCATCTGTTGGATATTACTGCAACAGAAATCATGCTGAGATTTAATCATTTTAATGTATTTAAGACTGGATACACTGCCATAGATAAAGAAAAGCCATTAACACGGAAAGGACATTCTGCTTCTAAGTCCTGCTTCATCTGGACAACAGAATCAAGTGCAATGGGGTTCAGACAGAAATGCTGGGTGGAGATAACAACCAGATCAGCTATGATCTCATTGAATCAAGGAGCCGGCTCAAAAATCCGAATGGCTCAATCATGCTCCTAAATTTTAATTCCCAGTTGGCACTTCTGGTGACAGAATGTGAGTCATGGCATTGGGGTGAAAGATGATGGAGACTAGAAGTGTAGCATTTGAACATCAAGCAATCAGTTTAGAGGAGTAGGTGTAAACGTGAGATGGATAGAGTGTAGGGAAATACGTATGAAAGAGATGGATACAGTGTAGGGGAGTAGTGTGTATGAGATGGATACAGTGTAGAGGAGTAAGATACAGTATAGGACAGTAGGTGAGTGAGAGATGGATAGTGTAGGGGAGGTGCGTGAGAGACGGATACAGTATAGGGAAGTAGTATGTGTGAGATGGATACAGCACAGGAGAATAGGTGTGTGTGAAATAGATACCATGTAGGGGAGCAGGTGTGTACATGAGATCAATACTCTGTGGGTTGCAGAATCATAGAATTGGTAGGCACAGAAGGAGGCCTTTCAGACCATCATGTTTACGCTAACTCTATGAAAGAGTATGATGACATTTTTCACGGCCTTTCTCCCCATCCCAGAATATTGTTTCTATTTAAACAATCAGCTGGTAGCCTCTTGAAAGCCTCAACTGAACTTGCCTCCACCACAGTTCCAGGCAGTGTGTTTCGGTCCCTAACTATTCACTATGAGAATCGTGCTTCCTTTACAAATTACCTTAAATTTGTGCACTCTCATTTCCAATCTTTTTATATGTTTGGACAGTTTCTCTCAACTACTTTGTCCAGCCTTGCTTATGATTTTGAAACCTTTTATCAAATCTCTAGCCTTTCTGGACCAGAAATGTTAACTCTGCTTTCTTTCCACAGATGCTGCCCTACCTGTTGAGTTTTTCCAGCAATTTGTGTTATTGTTTTCACAGTTCTTTTTTTTTCATGTTCTCTTCTTAGCCTTTCCCTTTCAAAGGAAAACAGTCCCAACTTTTCCAAACTATCTACAAAGCAAAAGTGCCTCATCCCAGGAACTTCTTTGCACTTGCTCTAACATGTTTACATCCTTCCTAAAGTGTAGTATCCAGAACTACACACAGTATTTCAGCTGAGGTCTAACTAGTTTCAACTCTACAAGATGGTGGCAGTGTAGGGTTTCTGAGCCAGGGTCGTCCTCTCCGACTGCTTTTCTTTCTTCTTTTCTCACTTTTTTTTTAGTTTTTTACGAATTTTTGCATCTTACCTTTTG